TAAAAATGGGAGTTCATAACCCACTTGAATCAAATGTATGAAATATGATATGTCAAGAGCTTTGTAATGTTTTGAACAACCAATAAAAAAAATCTGTAATTAGTTTAAGGAAAAACATACTCCAGGAGTTTAAGATCTCAATAGTTGAAGATTCTTTGATGCTTTCCTGTCTTGTGATTCACCTTGTAAAGCTATTAACTTTTTTTTTCCCCCTTCTTCCATATTATGGGGATGAATTGCTTTTTTTGAGGGGAGATACAGTGGGTTGAACCTAGTGAGCTTTACCATTGAGCTACATCCTCAGTTTTTTTTAAGATAGGGTCTTGCTAAATTGCTAAGGCTGTCCTTGAATTTGCCTTACCAGTCACTGGGATTACAGGCTTGTGTCACCATGCCCTGCTACAGCATGCTTATTTTTAAAGATTCAACTGTTGAGAAGAAAAAGTGATCTCATAAGGGGAGAGACTGATTCAGAGCTGGAAAAGACTTCAAGGGAAGGAAAAAGAAAAAAAAGTTTAGGAAAGGTTAACAAAAATTTTTAATGAAGTGGTGTGAATTAAGAGTGAGGTTACATAAGGCCAGGGAGAGAAAAGAAGAGATGTATATTTTTTTGCCTGAGGTGCTTAGCTTTCAAGTTCCAAAACAAAATTTCATGTACTGTTTGTCTATTCTTTGGCATTTATTTTCCTTGTTCATGCACATCCCTGGCAATCAGGAACAAAAGGGAGTAATGGCAGCTGTCACTCATGCATAAAGGCACAGTGGAAGACAGGAAGCCCAGCACCTGGAAGATGGATGGGGAGTCCTTTGGGACCCTCTGTGTTCTCACAATGACAAATCACAATAGCCTCCCTGCATGAGTAAAGGCTGACAGGTTGGTCTAAAGGAGGTTGATTTACCCATTCTAGTGTTTATTAAGAAGTAACAGCTGGGGCTGGAGGTGTAGCTCAGTAGCAGAGTGCTTGCCTGGTGTGCACAAGGCCCTGGGTTCAATCCCTAGCACCACAAAAATAAAATATTCCTCAAGAAGTAACAGCTGAATTCAGATGAGTTGGGTTAGATATAGCAAATTGAGATTGCTGGGCTGTACCCAGACTTATTCCAGCTCTACTTGAGCCCTCACAGACCTGCAAAAAGAGCCATTGACAGCCACTGGAATGCAACCAGTAGGAAAAGCAAACTAAATGCAGTCTGGGAGCCCTTGCCAGCAAGCCAGAGCCCAGATGACTCAGCAGGGTAGAGCTGTGACCCTTCACTTCCGGAGTCTTTACCCAGTGCTGCTACAAATGCATGCACACGAACTGGTCTTACTCCAGAGCCTATCCGAGAACAACATGCAGTGGCTAACACAACTTGGCACAACACATAGGCAGGCTTCTCTGAAGAAGGTCAATCCCCAGGTTCTGGGTAACATCAACTCCCAAAAGTTTGGCTGAGAACACCAACATAAAGGACAGAGCAGACACCAAGCAATCACAGTCTACCTGAAATCCTGTAAAACTGTTCCCCTAGACAGGCATAGGAGTTGGAGAATGTAGAAAAGAACAGACAGGGTGGGATGGAACTATGGGGTTCTGGCTGATGCATCACAAATCACCTTCCAAGGCTGAGCAATCAGTAATGGCAGTAATGATGAACTCCCTTCAGTGACAGCAGTGGCTTTACTCTTCAGCAGCTGAGACGCCCCAGAGCAGATAGCTGCCATGCATAACACTCTGCTCAAGCTTCAGATAAAATCCACCTCTGGGCTTCGTGCATTCATCACCAGGTATCTGGTACTTTATGAAGAGGAATCCTTCCTTTCATTTTTTAGTCAAATAAGGATTCATTTTTGAAAGGCGCTTTTTAAAGAAGCTCCAGAGAGGATGGGAGGGTAGTTCAGCGGTCAAGTGCTTGCTTAGCATGTATGAGGCCCCAGAACCATAAATAAATACACGAATCCACACATAATCCATAAGTAAGCTTCAGAGATAGGATGGGGTTTAGAAGTGAAAAGTAATAGTCCAGTTAAAACATCAGGGATCGGCTGCCTCACAAAATGTGCTCCCACTCCTAAAGATGTGCAGAGGGCAAACTGGGGTTCAGTCCTCCCAGTAATAATGCCTGGCTTCCTTCCCCACTGAATGCACTTACTGAGCAGGGGCCAGAGGGCCTCCTCAGGTTACATCACCTGGAGGGAATTCCCTAAAAGAATTCATCTGGCCTCTCTCTCCCCCTGAAAATTCGAACCTTGCTTTTTCATCTCTCTGGGGTCTGCCTGCCTACAGAGATGATGAATTCTGGATCCCTCTCCTATGGGTGTAGATGGCTTTCCCTGCAGCTTCCTGGCTTCTGTTGTCATGCTGTGCTAGGGAAAGGGTGGGTAAGTCTACCTAATAATTCATGGATAAAATTTCAGAAGGCTCCCTTGGCTGCAGACCCAAAGCCACATTCTTTAAAAAGCATCATCAGCACTAAAGATGGCATTTTTGTATCTATCAGCCTTACTTCTTTCTTTCTAACTGGTTTTGAATTTGGGAATGAAAGAGGAGTTATTTACTGGGTCCTCAAATCTCAAGAGTGGTTAGGAGTTGCCTTGCATATCTTATAGTTTCAGTGAATATTTACTGAAGATATATATGCAAAAATGTTATAAGAAAACTTAACAAAAGAAAATGTGTAAATGTACATAATAATCCTATGAAATTAGTGTTGTTATAGACCCCAAGTCACAGGAGAAACTTGTGTTCAAGAAGTTCAAAAAGCAAAAACGTGATAAGAAGGAAACAAACAATAAAATATATGATCTTATTTCTTCATGAGTGGATATTTGACCATATCTGACCCCATCTAATTTTTGAGAAACAGTCCAAAACATGATATGCAGAAATTTCTATATGAATTCTCAGAGCAAAGTAATCTAAACTATATTCAAGTCAGGCACAGTGGCCCATGCCTATAATCCTAGGGACTTGGGGAGCCAAGGCAGGAGGATCACAAGTTCAAGGCCAGCCTCAGCAATTTAGCAAAGCTCTAAGAAACTTAGTGAGACCCTGTTTTCAAAATAGAAAGGACTTAGCATATGGAAATTGGTTTTTCAACCATGTAGAACATAGAAAGTTTTTCCCAGATATTTTATAGGCCAAATGAAAACCTAAGACGTGAAAACCTAAGAGGAAGGACTCTTCCTTTATATGTACCAAAATAAACTTGAAGGGCACCATGACACTGTTTCACAAGTTCTTCCCCATTTTTACAACCAAATATTTAAGCTATTATTCCTTTATGAGTTATTAAAAAAAACATTCAAAATGAACTGCTTCCATGTAAAAATTCATCATACAACTAGCCATCTGCCTGCAGTTGAAAAAGGGAACTGTGTGTAGAATCATAATAGCAAGGGGACCTGACCAGCTTCCACAGTGACTTTAAGGTGTTACCATTTTAATTCACCCTCACAAATGCACAAAGAGCCTGTGAAAACTAGTGTTATCAACCCCAAGTCAGGGGAGAAACTTGTGTTCAAGAAGTTCAACTCCTTGACCAAGATTATCAGCTGATTAACAATAATGGCATTGAGATAGAAACCCAGGTCTTCTAAAACTTAGTTGCTATCCGTTCCATTCAGTCATGATTCTGGAATAAGGATGCTAAGATGTTCACACTTTCCCCTGCAGGTTTACAGTCTCTGGTCCTGAGACCTGGACACTTAAGCAAGACCCGAATAAAATAAGCAGGAGCATACAGAAGTGCTAGTTAATTCACTGCCTCCAGATTCCTCCAACCTTTCTCTATTCCTGCAGGCTCCTTTTAAGGAAGAAAAGTGAGTGAAGTCTTTCACTTTATTTCCTTCCTTCTTTGTCCCTGGCCTGACCTGAGAAGGTACAGCCCAGGAACCTGACCAGTGGAGAGCTGATGGGAAACAGTCTCTCATCTGCTAACTACAGGATGCCCCCTTAACTCCAAGAAGAACCTGATGGTTCAGCTTTCTTGAACTCACCAGTGTTCAGATGCTCACCTACAGCTGTCATGACAGCAGCAGCTGGCACGGGGTTCTTGAAGGAGCCAAGCTACAGATGAAAAGCTTTGGCTTTGACAGCACTAAGGGAAACGAGGGAGGGAGAGCCTTGAGTGCTGGGAAAGCAGGTCTCTAGTAGTAGTTCTGCATCCTGCTCCGCCCACTTGCATTCTTCAGGCCCACCTTCTCTGATTAATTTTCGAAGGCACAGCAAAAGGCTGAGTCCTGAGCAAGGGGAGCTTGAGTGGTCTCAAGGCAAACTGGGAATCCAGTGATAATAACAATTATCAAGGACAAAAACAATGCATAAAAGGAGCCTCCCAAACCACTAGAATCATTAAATAAAATGACATCTGGATATTGTATATCAGAGTTACTAAGTGAATTAAAAAATATTTATCTTTTAGTTATAGGTGGACATAATATATTTTATTTTATGTGGTACTGAGGATGGAACCCAGTACCTCATGCACGCTAGGTGAGTGCTCTACCTCTGAGCCACAACCCCAGCCCTATTAAGTGAATCTTAAAGGCATCCTTGTTTTGGAAATCAATTCAGTGAAACCTGATTGTCAAATTTCTGGGCTCAACTCAAGACACCCAATTAGTCTTAAGAACTTCACTCAGGAGAAATAGCAGATTGAAATGTTCATAAGAGATTCCTTCTTATGAATCATGGTTATTGTACTTCAATTAAGTGTGGTGAAGCAGCCACAGAAATAATGCTTAACTTTCCAAAGGAAAAATCCTCCTTAAGACCAACCAACTGTGCCCCAAATCCTGAAAAGACACATCCTGTGTGTAACTATGCTTACTTGAAGGTGACTGAGATAAAACACCTAACACCCCTCTTTCTGCTAATCCTGCCATTTCTCTCAGCTATGAGAAAGTATCACCAGAGTGGAAATAACACGCAGCAATGTGATACTGGGAACCTCACTGAAAAGGCATCCATGACAGACCACGAATACTGGGTAAGAAAAGTGAGGAAGAGAATTGAAAAGATGGCACTGTGGAGAAGATATTACCTAATATATTCAAGGGAAAGCATTTTCTGAAACTTCCTCTTGTTAACAATTCAAAAAACAAAAAACAAACAAACAACAAAACACAACTTTGATTATAATGGAAAGAAACCCAGAAGTAATTAGCTCTTCATCTACTCAAGGTAAGTTACTACTTTCCCCACACTGTCTCCAGCCCACTACACCTCCCCTCCTCTTCCTCTTTGAACTCACAGCACAATGTCATATTAAGAGGAAGGGCTCAGTACTTACATCAATCCAGAGTCACAATCCTGGATCTGCCATTTAGATTACTTATCTCTGTCCTCCATGTTCCTTTCAATAAAAGAGAAATGACAGCACTCACCTGAGCAGTCCTGGGGAGGATTTAGTGAGTCCACATAAACACCCATTTAGCTCAGTGTATAACACTGGTTCTTTCTATGCTTTGGATATTTCTTGCTGCTCAGCCAATGCAATTTGTTTTTAAAATGGACAAGTTTCTTTCTCTTCCTCTCTCCTTGCTCCTCCCTAATCTGTCCCCCTCTCTAATCTCAGGGGAAATAGGATTACCTTTCTTCGGTCCTTAAGCACACACCCACCATAGGAATGAAGTAATCCAGACTTTGGGGATGGTACTAGAAGATCTCAGAAACGCTTGCTTATCTCCCATTTTAACGAGTAAATTACAACTTCAACAGAGAACAGGAGCAATGTAGCCCTTGAATCACCTCTTTAAAAGACCATCATTCCTGTTGATGGGCAGAATCACAGTCTTTGGGACAGAAGCCCCTTGGTTTCTCCTTTGCTAGCCAATCAATAAACCTTCTTTTTCCTTTTTCTCAAGACCTTGCCTTCGTTATTGGATTGGCATTGAGGATGAGGATGGAGCTTTCGGTTACAGAAGGACAACTGTGCCACACACTCTTGGCCTTCCTGTGCCCTTGGACCAATCCCATGCATAGAGATTAACAGGGGTTCATTTGATGCTTTGATTATCTCTCTTGTGGCTTTGAAACTTACATATATTTTTTCTTTTTCCCAATCTTCTTTTCCCTAAACTTCTCCTCCCTGATCTTGTTTTCTTAATCTTCTCCTACCTGATCTCCTCACTGATCTCCTTTGATATTCTTTTCCCTAAACCTCTCCCTGATCTCTCCCTAATCTAGTTTTCTTTGAATTACTTCTATAAAAGCCCCCTGTTCCTGGGGATGGGCAGAATCACAGCTTTTGCAAAAGGACTCCCCTGTGTTTCTCCTCTGCTAGCAAGGCAATAAACCTTTTTCTTTTTTCTCATAACAGTGTCCTCGTGATTGGATTGGCATGGGGATAGGACAGAGCTTTCAGCAGAGAGATTCACCTGGAAAGTACATAATGAAGTAGAGCCATGCCATATAGATGGATGGGACTGGGCTGGCTTATCCCTGCCTCTGAGAGGCTTTGGTGAAGGGGCTGAGTCCAAGAAGTTTACAGTGAGGAAGAAGATGAAGCCACCAAAGTTCCCAAGCGCCAAAAACATCACGGTGTTTCTCCAAATCGAAGTTGAAATTGAAATGATAAACCATAAAATAACTTTATGGAAGTCAGTGAAGGTCTGCTTTTACCCATGGCAACCCACTTGGGGTGTTTTGGATAAGTACTGAATACAAATTCTTTTAAAAATATTTCCTACTGGGCACCAATCTCCAGGTGCCCTGAATACTTGTCGAGTCTGGCTACCTGGTGATCTAGTCCTGCTTGCACCAAGGATTCCCTCCAGGTCCACTGAAGCAGGAAAGCTAGCATGGGCAGGTGAGGTGGAGGGGAAGCTGGATTTCCGTTCCTGCCCTGTCTCCAACTGGCAGCTGAACCTTAGGCCAGTTCTCACCACAGGGCTCTAGTTTCTACCCTGTGGAAGGAGAAGACTGGGCTCAGACCATTTCTGAAGTTCTCTCTAGATTTAGGCTGGCAGGAATCAGTTTCTAAGCTTACTGTAATGCATCACTGCTGATCCCCAGCTGTCCTCAGTGTTGCCCCACCCTTTCATTCTTACTGTACCATGCTGCTCAGTGCTGTGCTCAGTGCTGCAGGTCAGCAGAGCTAGGGAGAATGGACCCCTTCGTATCACACTTTATGATGAAGCCATTCGGTTTTCTGACAGGATTCACTGGGCTAAAAATGTATGAGGCACAGTCTGTTCCCCATCCTGCAGGAAGTCTGGCTGTTATCAGAGCACGTGAAAATTCATGGCACAAAAGCCCACAGCACAAGAATTAGGTACCCCTTATCCTTCCTGTCCCCTTTCTGCCTCCACTCACCAGAAGGACAGAAATCACCACTGGATATCTGGCTTCGTGATTCTTGATTGCTGAGATGGTGGGTATAATTGTGAAGCAAACAGGGAGAAGACAAGACACCTACACTGACTAAGGCCTACACTGACAAGACACCTAAGCTGCTAAGGGTAGGTAGTCTGGAAGGGATGCTGTTGTAGCTTTGATGGTTGGAAAACTGGGACAGGCACAAAAAATGACGTGGGGCTAAAGAGAAGCTCCAGTTTGGTGCTCCCTGCAGTTTGTAGTTAAACTTTTTGATTTAAATTATAATTCAGACCTCCAGAGCTGTAAAGACTTTCTTGAGAAGAACAGCCTTCCTCGCTCTGCTTTGGAAATTCTGTGTCACTATATTTCAAGATCGGCCTCAAATGTTAAGCATACACTACACCTGACCTGAACAAAGGCCTATTTTTAACCGTGGATTTTTGATGACGTATAAAAATCACTCAACTTCATTCCTCTTCCAAACCCCAAATATCTACACAAAATCAGGCAAAAAAGAATACACCTGATGATGGTTTTAATCTACATCTCTCACCTTCTTTACCCTCTGAATTCTCTCCAATGAAGCCTTTACCCAACAAACACTTATTTCTCCCAAGGGAAAGCAATAATTGAATAAAACAGGGTTGGCATCAGCATCACAATGTCCCCCTTCTGGGTTCTCTTTGCTCACTGCTTTCTCTGCCTGAAACATCCGGTTTTCTGGTTCTCCTTTTTGGTTTTATCTCTGTCTGCATCAGTGCCTGTTGGAGGTATTCTTGAAATCTCCATGCCAGTAACCCTGCTAATCCTTCCTTGATTCTCCCAGAGCATCCTCTGCATTTCTGCCCTTCCAAACTTTTCAACAATTGCCTGCTTTTGTGTATCTGTCACTGAACTGTAAATCTGTGCAGGACAGGGATTATAACCTACGTTTGCTTTTCCAGGGCCTAGTACAGCACCCAGCACAAGGAAGGAGTGCAATAAATACACAGTTGTAAGGCTTACCACAGTCTTTAGCTGGATTCTTAAGAGTGACACTGTAAGGCAGGAATCACTGGTCTCCTTTTACAAAGAAACTGTTGCTCAGAGGGGTTTTTTTTATAGACTCTCTGAGCCTTTCAGTTCTGACACCTATGGCTCCTAGGTTCGATTTTCACAGGACCACATTCTAATCAGCTGACTGTACAAATATAGCAGACAAAGGCGAAAGCACTGATCCTCTGATGTGGGCGAATGCTAGAGACCCACACAAGTGAAGTACAAACATACAAAACATTCTAATATGGGCAGAATAACTGTTCTGAAAGCAGGAATGCTGATCAGATATGGAGACAGAGTTTACATCAATTCTTTTCTCAAGGACCTTTTGGTCCTAGAGCTCTGCAGAAATGTCTGGGTACACATGAATTAGATACAAACAAAGTTTATCTGGTTATAAGGTCATGAAACAAACTGTCTCTGGTGAACTGCCAACACTGCCTCAGACATCTTGAAAGAGCTGCTCATGGGACAGCTGCAAGCTGCCAAAGTAGAAGTAACGTGGATGTGGCTGATTCCCCATTAGGCTCAGGAAGCAACAAGGGGCAGGAAATGCAGGCAGCTAACAGGCAGGCCGGGCGGGTGTGGGTCTTGACTCTTTGTGACCCTGTGGAGCACTTGAGCTTCTCCTCAGCTTAGGAAAGTGGTTTTTAGCACAGCTGTACCCTGTAATGGCATGAAGTAGCCTCTTAAAAGCACCCAAAGCTAGCTGTTGCATTAGTTGGCCTAGGGTGGCCCTTGTGTGGGCATTTGAGTTGATTACAAGCTCCTCTGCAATTCTCACATGCAGCCAGTACTAAAGGCCTGGGTGTTTTCAAAATAGCTCACCTGGTTGATCCAAAATTAAAATGACAAGCACAATAGTAACACCATTTGAAACTTTCTTTATCCTATATCCACTAGTGTTTAAGACACTTAGGTAAACAGCCATTTAAGTTAGGTCATTGGGGGCATGTCCTTGAAGAACAGATTGGGATCCCAGCCCTTCCTTTTTCTCTCCGTTTTGCTTCCTGGCTGTCTTGAGGTGAACAGGAATCTTCTGAGCACCCCAACTAGGATGAACTCTGCCACCACAGGCTCAAAGTATCAGGGCCAAGGACCATGAATTGAAATCTCTGAAACCCTGAACAAATAAACCCTGAATAAAATAAACCTTTGCTCCTTTAAGTTGAAAATCTCAGGTATTTTGTCACAGAGATAAAGAGCTGACTTAGTGTACCTATAAATGACACAGAGATTATATAAGACCACAGTATCTAACAATGGTTAAAACACTTGCCTGTTAGAGCTTTACACTATGTAAAATGTTCAGTACATATCTGCTGTCATACCTTTCTTTTCCTATCCCAAAGAGCTGGGTATAATATTCTGGAGTTTGGGGCTCAGTCATTCTGTCCCGAGCCTTACAAATTATACACAGATGCACACTGCTTTAAGAAAAAAACGATAAAGAGATCACTAGAATCATAAAAGAATGAGATGTGATTATTCATTTTCTCAGAGCTCTTTTAAGACATCTAAAAATAATTTAGCTAACAAAAGTTCAAGGTCTTAACAATTTTTCAGAAGCTCAAGTGCTGTATAAAATATATGAATAGAAACATGTAGATATGAAGATATTTTAGTAATTTAAGGATTATATAAGTCAAATCTGTTCACAGAGAAAATTGGAAACTAAAGATAAGCAAAAAGAGGAATGAATATATACATCTTTATATAAAACTTTCAAATCAACATTATGCTACTTAGACGATACATGTACTACACAGAAAAAATTTTATTACACATACATTTATACACAGTTTTGGGAGCCTGGTTAGAGCCAGCTTGAGTTGCCTCTGAAATTAAGCAGACACACAGTTGAAAAATTTTTCTAAGTTGTTTGTTTGTTTACAATAATGGCTTGAAAAAATTTAAGAATTTAAAACTCATGTCAAATAAGAAAAACAAACTAAAATTCTACCTCACAGACTTTAATTTCATTTCTCAAACATGCTCACTATAGTATTATCATTTACTCAGCTCCTATCTGTCCTCAGATAAGCAAGTACAGAGGTCAATTAACACAGGTCACTGCTGTCCCTGAAACCATATGCTCACTGCATGATGCCTGGGTGGAATGGGAATGGAAGACCTTGGGTGGTAGGCAGATTTGGGTCTTAGGCTGACAATGAAAGAATATAAGCCTGTTGCAGAGAATACAGATTTTTACCTTTTACTATATGGTTCTTTCTGAACTTGACAGAACTTCCCATACTGTGTAAGCCAATACCTTTCCTCAACTGTAAGATACAGAACACTTATATTCTTAGGAAAAGAGACAAATACTTGAGTGACTACTTATATTGCCTTTATGAATACACTCAAGCTGCTCACATGCAAATAGTGGTAAATATATGTTATTTTTCTATAATCCACTTTACCTAATATTGAACTCATAATGTACACTACACTTATTGGTTTTACTCTGTTCTCAATTCACTGTTAGCCAATTCATGTCACCAGCCTTGATTACACCAATTACCTCTCAATCCAACAGAATGCGATCCTGTCTGATTTACTAAATGATTCAAGTTTACCTGTCTAAAGTGCTATCTAAAAGAATGTTTGAGATAAGGAACCATCAGAATTTCCTATGTTCTAAAATGTAACACACAGAGATAAACAAGAATCACACTTTTACTGTACATTCCAATTACCTGCCAAGTATTTCCTCTCAAACCCTCCTGCTCTGATGCCAAGAAAGCTATGCACTTGGCCCACTCTGAGAAAGTACAAAGTGAGAGACACAAGGAGATATGAGCTGTTATAACAAATGACAAAGCCCAGGTGGCTTAAACAAGCATTCATTTCTCATGGTTCTGGAGGCGAGAAGTCTGAACTCAGGGTGGCAGCATGGTTGAGTTCTGGGCAGTGACCTTTCCCACGCTGTGGAGAGCTGACTTCCCTCACATGGTGAACAAAGGGCAGAAGAGCTCTCTGGAGTCCCTTTTTTAAGGGCAATAATCCCATTGTGAGGACAGATCCCTCATGACCTAATTATCAGCAAACAGCCCCAACTCCTAATACCATCATATAAGGTTTAGGATTTCAACATGTGCATTTTTGTGGGGGACATAAACATTCATACCATAACAGGAGCCCTTTGCTTTCAGCATATATTGTTCCAATGAGAGTCATAAGGCAAGGATTTAGCACATTTAAATCTTAAATTGATTGAGGAAAAAAGAGCAGTCAAAAACTCAAAACACCAATTATTTGCAAATACCAAAGCAGAACAAGCCAAACTAACGATTAAATTACTCCAAATATGCATGCAATGAAACTCTCATTTTCTACTATGCTCTACTGAAAAAAAGATCAAGTCTGTAAAAGGTCTTAAGTCTGAAGACCAAGGGCACATCCCGAGGCAGTGTTTTACACAGACACTGAAGCACCCAAAATGATAACATAACCCATTACAGTACAGATAGATAGATGGTTTTTCTACTAAGGAGTATGACTGTTAGGGAAGAATTTACACCTGGGGACATAGGAACGTTCTTAACAATCCTTGGGAAGCTGTAATTCACAGTATTTTGTTTTATTTTCAGATGATACTTTTGTTACCAGAGAAAGGTACTAATTCTCATCCTACAATTCTAGTTTACCTTTTCTTCTAGCTATCTTAGCAAACAAGGAGAAATTTTCATCATAAAATTACATGTTCTCTAGAACAAAAACATTAAGTATACTCATCAAGTATACTTGGAAGCTGCATCATGTTCTGGCCCGCTGATTGCCCCTCTGTTATCTGGGTATGCCGAGCTCACATGTGCCTTGACAACTCTGCACCTGCTTATCCTTCTGCAGGACTGCTCTTCCTCAGATCTTCTGGCTGCTCCTCTTCTCATCATGCATGCCACAGATCCCCTGTCACCTCTCCACAGAGGCTTTCCTGACAATCTACACCCCGATTCACTGTCTCCATTGCATTTATAACTATTTGAAATTATCCTGTTTATGATTTGTTTGCTTGTATATCCATAAGCCAGGACCTGGTCTATCTTGCTCACACTATATTCTTAGCACCCAGAACAGTGCCTGTCATGTAGGTATTCAATAATTGTATGTTGAATGAATGAATTAAATTAACTAGAAGTCAATGAGAGGTCATATGAACATGTAACTGCAAATGAATTTATTTGATCAAAACTTACCTCTGTATGCTGTAGCTGGCAGGAACACTAGAGACAATCTACATTGATTTCAGGAAAGTATTTAACAAAGTCTAAATAATAACCTTGTAAATTTGACAGAAATAGCAATCTAGTAACAGGTCTACAGATTCCTTACAGGCTGAACCACTGTATCAAGGGAGCTGAAAAATGGAGTAGGAGGGTGCCTCTGTGTACCTGGTCCTGCCTGACCCTACACTGTTATCAAAAGTCTGTGAGGTGAAAAATTTAAACTGCACAAAGCCGAAAAGGATAGCAAATGGATGGGAGAACAGAATCAGATATTATCAAAAATATCTCTACAGGCTGAAACAAACAAGGATATTTAATAGGAATCATCCTAAAGATTTGCATATCATTTAAAATTCTAAGATTAGAGAGACGGACTTTTGGACACCTGACTGAACCAGCAGTAGCACCCATGAAAAGTCCTAGTGTTATTATTGTGAGCTTCCCGTGGGTCACCCACATGATGTGGCTACCAAAGAACCATTACAAGAATCTAAAACATGCTTTGGGAGGATGAACCTGAGTTATAAAAATTCTAAATACAAATTTCATGTTTGATTTCATTCAGTAACAGTTTCTGAGCACTCCTGATGTGACGGGCATTACAGACAGCACAGGAGCTGAAGGCATAAGAGACTGAAGGTCCAGTGTGGGGGACAGAATTTGGGTAGGGAGGACAATGGAAGAGAGGCAAACTGTAAATCATAGGAACAGAGTTGTCCAATCCACACGGATGGGCTGGGGAAAGTTCTCCAGAAAAGACGACTCTTGGAAACAGAAGATTTAACTCAGAGAGTGAGGTGAAAGTAAGTGAAATCAAGAGCTCAGCACAGTGCCAGGCACACAGCAAATCACAAGAACAATGTTGGGTACGACTATCATTATCATCAATACTGTTGCTGTTGTTATAGTAATTATTAAGAATGAATTCTCCTTGACAGCTCTTAGAGTAGAATTCCAACTAATATATGTAGAGGAAATGATGGAAACACAAAAATCAACCATTAGGCAAATATTTTAGTAATAATCACTAGAGTCCGAGACTCACTGATGGATGCTAAAATTAATGGACAGAAGTATGAGAAACAAGACATTTGCAATGTCTCAAAATATCTTTCCACAAGAAACTTATTACAAAGGGGGAAAACACTGACACCACCCTGACCAAGAGCTCAGTTAATATCCCCAGGGATAAGACACAGCAACATCATGTTCATCTTGGTATGATTAACTGGGAAGAGCGTGTCACTTCTGTGGTATTCTTGCTAAGAATGCATAATCCCAGTCTAACCATGAGAAAATACCAGAAAACCCAAAGTGATGGTGAACAAAATAACCAACCAGTGTGCTTCCACCAAAATGTTAATGTCATGGAGGACACCCTGAGGAGCTACCACAGATTGACACAGACTCTAAGGGATCTTGAATTGGATCCTACAACAGAAAAAGGACATCGGTAGGAAAATTTGAGTAAGGCCTCTACATTAGGTAACAGTGTTGTATGAGAAGATTGATTTCCTATATTCTATTATCACCCTTCAACATGTACGATGTTAACCTCAGGAAAGCCAGGTGAAAGGTAGTTTAAAAAAATTCTATATTATTTTTGTGACCTTTCCTTGAATCTAAAAAATATTTCAAGATAAAACATAAAAAAAAACAAAAAAAAAACCCTGGATACACCTGAGCCAGGAAACCAGAGATTCTGACAGGAGATAAAGGGAAGGCGGAGAGGCTGACTCAGACCTAAATTTTAGTTACTGGGACTACCAGGCTAAACTATGTCAGGAAGAACACTGAGCAGATGATGGAGTGTACAGAGCCTGGGGCTATAAATACCAAAAAATTGGCTCTAACTAAAAGAATGTAGAGAGAACTGCTCTGAGTAGAAGAGAACTGGTTCTCAGGGTATAGCCAAACGCATTCTTGATGATTCAGCTCCAGTATCAAGAGCATTAATCAACATGGTTTTATAATGTGGAGGCCCCAGGGCTCCTGGGTGTGGTG